GTACATATTTATCATCTGTTGCTATGTAACAAATTACCCCAAAACGAAATTGCTTTAGACAACAATAAACATATTATCTCTCACAGTTGCTGTGGGTCAGGGATTCGGGAACTTTCCCTGCACTGTTCCCAGTCCTGGTAAGTCTTTCTGTAGGTATGGTCATCAGCTCTTCACTGGGAATTTATGGATGGCTGCAAAATTTTTTGACATTCCCCTCATCAAGAGATGAAGTCTCTCTCTTCTCCCCTTGAATCTGAGCTGACTTGTAACTGATTTGGCCAAAGACAAATATGGAAGAAGTGCTGCCGTTCTGGGTTCTGGGTCTAGTTTTTAAAAGGACTGTCAACTTTCACCTTGGTCTCCTGGAGCCTGAGCTGCCATCGAAGAAGAAGTCTGGCCCCTCTTCTGGACACACTTCATGGGCAGGCTCTGCGTCTACACAGAGAAGGGGAGATGCCCAGCTGAGGCCAGCCTTCTAGTCCTTGCCGATGTCCAGACCTGGGAGTGATGCCATCTTGGACCCTCCAGCCTAGCCCAGATGGCTGAATCCCACCAAGTGAACACAGTCAGTGCCACATAGAGCAAAAAACGGTCCAGATGAACCTTGCCACAAAATCATGGGACATAATAAGATGATTGTTGTTTTCAGCCACGAAGTATTGGGGTGGTTTGTTCAGAATCAAGAGATAATTGGAAGACCCAGAATTCAAGGAAAGATCATAGACTGTAGCTGGTCCAACTGCACATTCTGTGTTTGAATAATTTCTTTTTTTTTTCTTTCTTTCTAGACATCATTCAGTCTTTTGCTTAAATACGTAGAGGGGCAGGACAATTATTACCTCTGGGGTTAGTTCCTTCTGTAGTATGGTGGTTGTAGCTCTTCTCCCTTCGTCCTGCTCTTCCTCCATCTTCCTTTCCCTCTGCTGTTTTCCTTCCTTCCTTTTCTTCCTTCCTTCCTTCCTTCCTTCCTTCCTTCCTTCCTTCACCTTTTGTTTCATTTGTGTCCCCAGTGGATTGGCTGAGGTTTGCCCACATTGGTAGGAGCAGATCTCTTTACTTAGTCTACTGAATCAAATACTAATGTCTTCCAGAAACACCCTCATAGATACACTCAGAAATAATGTTTTACCAGCTCTCTGGGCATCTCTTGGCCTGGTCAAGTTGACACATAAAACTAGCTGTTACAGGGAGTGGTACCTGAGCTGGTTCTGGCTTGGAGTGTAGGAGGTGAGCAGGTACATGGGAAGGAGCCTCTTCTGGGGGTGCTAGTGTTGAGTGCAAGGTGTGGGGATGGTAACGGTGGGGCATGAAGAGAGGAGAGGTGGTTATGGCCATATCACAATAGGCCTTAATGCCACTTAGGAGTTCAGACTCCATGGCCAGGTGGAGCCGGAAGAGAGTTCCCCTTCAGAGGCCACCCTCTGGTTGCTGGGGGGGGGGTGGTTGGGGCGGCAGCAGGGAGACCAGGTAGAGGTCGATTGGCTGAAAGATGGTGGCAGCTTGGACTGGGGTGGAGATGGCAGAGTCGCAGGAATGTGGGTGGTTTGGAAAGTGTAATGGGTGTTGACTGTATTACTTGAGACTATGTCATTCTGCTGTAAAGGATAAGAAAAACAAATAGGTTGGGATGCATCTTCTACAAAGCGTTTGGCATAGATTGTACATAAGCTTGTCGCTTATGCAACGGAGGCAAAACTTAGAGGATGTGTTAAGTACACACAATGAGTAAGCTTCTGAGACTCAGGCAGAATTCATAAGATGTGTTAAATGTAGATAGTAAGAATGTTAGCAACCTGCTAATCATAGATAGATTGAATGGCTTATATGGTAACACAAAGAAGAGGACTGTAAATAGAAATGGGTGGAAAGATCAAGTCATGATGGTACCACCTCCAACAGGTCATCCCTAAATTGGCCACCCACTGGTGTTACCGACCCTGGGCTTATTCTGTCCCCACATATGCTCTGTCCAAGAAAGGCGGATGAAACCAAGGGCTGTTCAGAGGTGAGTGGTAAAGCTGCAGCACTGGTTAGACATACATACTTGCCTTGTCTCTTCAATAGAGTATGTGTGTCATTGACCCCAGGTAGCTTCCATCTGTGGGACGCCCTTGCACCAACCACAGCTCTGGTCTTCTGAACCACATAGCAGCAGGGCAGGCTGGGGTGGAAAGGAAAGAGCCAGGACATATGAAAATTACATACCCCAGGGTTCCAGGGCCATTCGGCCATTCTCCTCACTTACACCCCATCTCAAATGTGTCAACCAACTTCATGTCTTTTATTCTTGATTTATATTTATTTATTTTGCTTTGTGTCTTATTTGGTTTAACGAATGACATGATTTGAGCACCTCAGTTTGGTCTGTGAGCTTTCCTATTTTGTAGCCTGTTAGTTGCCTGGTAGTATTTTTGTGATGGGAGAAGGCAGATCATTGGCTGGGACAAGAGGGGTTATCAAGAGCTCTCCTGGGGCGCTTGGGTGGCTCAGATGGTTGTGTCTGCCTTCAGCTCAGGTCATGATCTCCAGGTCTTGGAATTGAGTCCCACATCGGGCTCATGTTCAGCTGGGAGTCTGCTTCTCCCTCTCCCTCTGCCTCTCCCCCTGCTTGTGCTGTCTCTCTCTCAAATGAATAAATAAAATCTTTAAAAAAAAAACAGCTCTTTTAAGCTAAGAGCCTCCTATCTCTATTTGGAGGTACACATTTTTAAAAAGATTTTATTTATTTATTTGAGAGAGAGAGCAAGAGAGAGAGAGCACAAGAGGGGGGAGGGTCAGAGGGAGAAGCAGGCGGGGAGCCTGACGTGGGGACCCGATCCTGGGACTCTGGGATCATGACCGGAGATGAAGGCAGTCACTTAACCAACTGAGCCACCCAGGCACCCCACCCATTTTTTTTTAAAGAGATTTCATTTATTTATTAATTTGACAGAGAGAGCGAGAGAAAGAGAGAGAGAGAGAGCACAAGCAGGGGGAGTGGCAGGTAGAGGCAGAGGGAGAAATAGGCTCCCCATGGAGCAGAGAGCCCGACGTGGGACTCGATCCCAGGACCCTGGCATCACCACCTGAGTGGAAGGCAGAAGCTCAACGGACTGAGCCACACAGGCGCCCCTGGGAAGTATACATTTAATGCACCCAGAGAGGACTCTGGGCAGGGATGGGATTGCAGGAGAATCACCATCAGAGGCCCCGCCTCAGCTCTGTGGGTCTGGAGCACAGGAAGCCAAGACAAGCTACGCAAGCATTTTTAAGGATCCTCCATGCAGCCGATCCTTCTGCTAACATTTCATTGGCCAAAGCAAGTCACATGGCTAAGCCCAACCCCCAACAGGAAGAGTATTCAGCCCTAAAGAGGAAGGAAATTCCGACCCAGGCTCCAACGTGGATGAACCTTGAGGATGCGACGCTGAGTGAAATAAGCCAGTCACAAAAGGACAAGTATGTATGATTCCACTTATATGAAGTACTTAGAGCAATCAGATTCATAGAGACAGAAAATAGAGCAGTGGTTGCTAGGGGCTGGGAGAAGGAGGAATGGGGAGCGGTTGCTTGATTGATGTAGAGTTTCAGTTTTACAAGAGTTTCGAAAGAGTTCTGGAGTTTTGTCGCGCGGCCATGTGAATGTACTTACCACCAATGAACTCTACAGTTAAAAATGGTTAAGTTGGTAATTTTGCTGTTGTTAAAGAACTTTAATTCAAATAAAAAAAGAAAATTCAATTTAAACACCAGGTGGTATAAAATAAGTGCAAAGACAAAAGTAATGTAGTGTCCACAATCCCACCACACAAGGATAGACTCTGCTGACCACTGGAATCCCTGGTGGACATTTCTCTGTACTTGAATATTCCATGGACGCATGTACTAATTTTCTTTAACCGCCGTACATACACTACGGTGTTGGATTCTTCTCAAGCAAAATTGCTTTGAACAAGTCATTGTTCTGGAGTCGATACACAGAGTCCCATCATCATTTTTAATGGCTGGATGGTATTCCACCTATTGTGTCCCCTAACTGTATCAGTTCATAAGGCCATGTAGCAAAACACCTCAAAACTCAGTGGCTTAAGACAACTAGCATTTATTATGCTTAGGATTATTGTGAACGTGTTTTCCTGTGGGACCACGTTCAGGAGAAGGGAAGCTAAGGAAACACGATAAAATAGAGGAAGAAATGTAAGTCAGGATGTGATGTTAGCTGGAGATAGGCTTCAGCCTGGTTCAGTGGAGAGTTTTGGAGCACAAAAGTGCACCTCCCACCTTGGTTCCACCTTAAGCCCCTTTGATCCACCCCTCCCTTGTCAATCAATCTCTGGCTACAAGTTGACAGATCCTGTTGAGCCAATGGCAATTCTCCAGAGAAGGCTGGAGGTGAAAGCTATTAGCAGCCAATACTGAAGCAGCCTACTAAACAGAAGATGGTAAATTTTATGTGTATTTAACCGTAAGTAAAACAACAACAACAACAAAACCCCCCAAAAATCAGTGGGGTGGGGAAGTACACTCCATCTACAGTGGGAGGCCCTACAAACTTACAAGGCAAAGGATATGGATGTATAATCCTGATATAGTGGAGTAAGAATCGGGATCAATGATCTAATTCATTACATTTGCTCAGATTTGCGTGGTGAGGACACTTCTCTGGCAATCCCAGTGGGGGATGGGCTGGCCCTCATCCAAGAGGCAACAATCCAGGTGAGGGCAGGGGAGCCCAGTAGATGGAAATGAGATAGAAGATGTACTCAGAGCCTTGTTTGTTGATGACTTCCTATACCTGAAGTACTGTGCCCAAGACTGTGCATTTGTCATCTCCCTTAAGCTTTCAACAAGCCCACGACGTAGGTCTACTATGAATCCCTTTGTACAGATGGGGAAACCGAGGTAATAGGAGGGGAAGTGTCCTGCTTAAGGATGCACAGCTGGGAGGAACTCAACATGGCATTCAAACCCACATCTGCCTGCCTCCAGGGCCCAGGTCTTTAACTACCACGCCCTACCAACTTGGTTGAGGGTGCAAGGCAAGTGATTTGACCTCTGAGTTTGGGTGACAGGTGGGTGGAGACCCCATCGACTAAGGCTGAGCACTGCCCCTGTGAGATCCACTGGGGACAGTCACGTGGGAGAGGAAAGTGGGGAGGGGGGAGACCAATTTTGAATGGAAAAGGAAAATGCTCAGCTCCAAATTAGCAGCATTTTCCTCTGGCCTTGCTTTTCTTCACTTGTTTACCTGTAACTTCTTCCAACTCCGGCTGCTGGGGACAGAGAGAAGCGGAAGACAGGAATCCTCCAGGGGCTCAGATGCTGCTCGGCTCGCGATGTAGCCTGACAAATCAAGTGGGTAAAACCCATTAATTAGCAGTTTTGGAAACAGTTGCAAAGTTAATTATTCCGTTTTCTGATGAAAGAAAGCTAATTTTTGGCATTTACACCGACAGTGACATGAACTAACATTTTTCGAGTTGACATCCCTCAAGATAAATGATGCTGTGAGGCATTTGTGCAAACATCCTGACCCACAGCACTCTGACGAAGACTGTCTGTAACGGGCACCTTCGCTACAGTTTTTGCCCGGCGAGTTTGGGGGGTGGGCGAGCCAAGAAGGGGGGTGTATCTGGTGGGGGCAGTGAAAAGGAGAAAGCTGGTGACATACAGAGAAGATTCAAAGCCAGAGAGAACATTTGCATGTTCAGAAGGCTTTGCCGTAATGGCGAGAGGAGGGGGGCTTGCTAACATTGCTGTCCCTCTGTCTGTCTGTCTGGGGTGAGATTCCCACCCAGAGGAGGCACCTAGTTTTTCCAAGTGGTTGCTTCCAAATTCAGGTCTTCTCCCCAGACCTAGCTTCTGAATACTAGGCTGATGCGTCCAGGTTTCTGCTGAACAGCTTCACTCAGCATCCTGGAGGCATCTCAAACTCACTTTGTCCCGAAGGAACTCCCGGCTCCCCTGCCCTTGTCTTCCC